CCAAGAGCACCAGGCGATCAAGCGGCTATCCAGAACGGGTTCACGGTAATAAGAAGGCACTAAGGGACTGTGGTCCAAAGCACATTGCAAATACCATATACGTCCTGATCACTGATCTGCTGTCTGCGGCTTAACAGCTTTGATCAACAATTAGCAACCAGTTGGGTTAGATACACCAACATGAAACATCCAAGGCCTCAGCGTTCGCGCAATCAGTGTCCATGGTGAGGTAGAGTTACAACGGCTTCACTACGGAGTGCTTCTTTCAAACACAAGAACAGATACCATTAAAATACATGCGCCAAGTTTGGTACGATTTCGATACAGTTGTGATCGATCTTGTTCGTATACTCCGATACCCAAAGCAGCGGTGGCAAGCGTGGAGTTCGTAATCTTCTAAGGTCGGTGACCTCTAGCTAATTCGTCCGTATCTCGAAGGCAAACGAACCGGCCAGTTAACCCACATCTACACGTACATCGGTGGGCCTTAAATTCCTAAACGTGGTTCCATCAACATCCTCATCATGGGACAATGTAGTAAAAACCCGTTATATCATATGCCAAAGGGTTGGACCAACAGACCCAATGGCCTGTTGTAACAGCGATCTTCTTAAAAGCCATCACCAAAAACTAGCTAACTGGGTTTGTCCAGCGGGGACTACAAAGATAATAGGTCTTTTGGATCCAGTCTCAAATAGCTCGAAATTATCGCATCAGACGGACAGTACTGAGGTTCCTTATGGCCGACAGTTCGATCGGATAAGGACGATACCGGAACACTTACCAAGAGTTATCTCAAATATCACATTGTCTGGCTAGGGTATCGTTCGTGCCGGATTTCGTAACCAGCTATCCGCTTGCTTTAAAGCGATCAACATCAGAAACAAGACCAGTCGATCCAAGAACTATTCTATTTTGTGAATCAACCCCTCATTTTCTATCTGATGAGCCTCGTCGCCTAAACACCGAAGCATTCAGTGATGAACAAACAAATTCCAGTCTAGGAAGCGCAGTTCGCCTTAAAAGTTACCCAGAGAACTCCGCCTTTAAAAGTCAGCACCAAGACGATCAGTCCAGCTAAACATATCGACCAGCCGGGTTATCCAGGATCAATTGACGGCTAGGTAATGGACGAGGCCATATGGGAGTGAATCAGGTAAGCAGAGGAAACCGACTAACTACGCAACGCTTCGATGACTAACCAGATTCCAGTAGCGATCGAACGCAACCAGATTACCCGTTAGTGAAGCACGTGGTTCACGCAATCCACGAGTCATGACTAAGACAGGCTCGGTATTTTTCATGGCACGCCACAAACGTGCCATGGGTCCAACGGTTCGGTTCTCCGCACTTCTACCGATTCTTCTTTGACAAGCAGAGACACAGCTGGGGTCGTGGCCTAAGGGTGTGGACGAGAACAACAAGTGGAAGCATTAAGACTAGAACGATACTCTAGACAGTGCACGTTGGTTAGACAGACCAGTTAGCAATAAAACGACCACAGGAAGTCTCTGTGGTCATATGTGATCCAATGCCTAGACGAAAACTGTTTACGAAATTTTGTACACCGTTCAAATCGAGCATCCTGCAATCACATAAAAGCGTGGAAGTAAGGTGCCATCCTATTGACCTATAATCAAGCCATAAGCGGAACACTGTGAGAAGTTTTCACCAATTTTGCGTGACAAATTTGGAACAATAGCCACAACTTAACAACAAACAGAATCACAGATAACGCGACAGATGTGAAAAGTCCAAAAGTGTCTGAAAATGCCTGGAAGCTTGAAAAAACCGTAATTCGAATGGTCTGCAGAGCCTCTAATGTCCATAGGGCCATTATAAGCAGATATGGCATATTTACAGAACTAATGGAATACGCTCAGTATACCCCAAATAGGGGAAAAACGATAGCAACGACAAAACGCTGACCAGATTTTTGGTAAAAACGTGAGCGAACCCGGTATAAAAAAAAGACGTTCACGATGTTCACAATCGGTTTTGTTCCATGGTGCCAGCCTTCGAGACCGTAAACGAGCCTTTACAACCTGTTGCATCCCAGAACAATTGAAACTAGAATGGATAAACTTATAAAATATGCTTGCGCTGTGATCCACGTCTTCAATAGCTCCCTCCCCAAGCCCCTTACAATGCACCCAGGCACACACAGCAGTAAAATACAACAGGACAGTGGCTTGCTGCACGAGGGACATATTTATTCCGTATATTCAAGAAAGATTACCTGCCGGCTTCGTTCTGCCTGCAGTGTGTAGACGCCGGTTATGAAACCTGATGAAAATTTAAGGGATCCGTGCTGCTCATGTACGCCAGGCTATAGCGGGCTAGTCTTCACCGTCAATTGAAAGTTACAGTTGTGCGCAATCACAGGATCTGAAAATACTCTACAGACGATCGATGCAATTTGATCGTTACACACCGACTAACGGTATCAGAATGGCGCGACAGATCCTGTTATCATGTCGGATATGCATGCATAGCCTGCCCAACTAGCTGAATCCGAACAGCTCGTTCAAGAGAATCAGTAGGCGACGGTCGTCAATGACTGATGTTTCGCCCGTGCTGTAGCTTA